GGCAAGCTGCCATCATGTAAAATCTCACCAAGGGACCCAAAAACACACCTCACAAGATCCTCCCGGGATCTCCATGCCACACCAGGCTGCCCTGAGCCTCTGCACTAGGTACCTACTGAGCATTAACCTCAAGGAAGAGCACGGGGTAGGCAGGCTCTCTCGGGAGCACACCCACGCCTTTCTTCCCTCTCAGGGTGTATCTTTACTTTTCTCTCCTAAACGCTAAGGGTCCAAACAAGAGCACTGGGGAGCAGCAGCTCATCCCAGGCCTACCCCGTGAATCTGTCTCCAAGACCCCCTTTTCTCTGGCTTTCCAGTGACTAACAGCAGCCCAGCATGGCACATGTCTTTAGTATGCTTCTGGAGAGCCAAAGCAGAGGACCCCGCAGGCTCTCTCTCCTGTTGCTTCTTCCACCCTAAGCCTCCCACCCTTCCTCTGTTTCACTGTCCCCAGCTTTAATAAACACACTCTCGAAATAAAGAGTAAATTAAGGAAAAGAAAAGAGCACTGGGTGGGGAAGCAGGAGACTGGGTTCCAGCCCCAGCAAGCCGCTCCCCTCTAGCACAATGAGGGCTGGGGGCCAGGGGACTAGAGAGTCCCGTCCTGGGACGCCATGTTTCCGAGACACTGCAGTTCCAGTCCAATCCGACATTTGGCTCTCGATCCCTGTGCCCCAAGGAGTTTCCACCGGGCTCATCAGGGGAAGGCTCCCACACTTGCTCAGAGTCTGGGAGGAATTACAGCAGGCGGGGATCGGGCCTGCCCCCATCAGAAAGCCAGACAGCCACGGCGGGTATTTCTCAATCTCAGCTTGTTGGACTAGAAGGCATGTCTGTGTGTACGTCAATAAATATTTTCCTAGAAAAGCAACAGGACAATACTGGTTTACAAAACTCGTTACATAACCTCCCAAAGCTTGACGATCTGCACACAAGAGAGGCTCCTTGTGCGTCCCCTAACCCTTAGGATGAGGCTCCACCCCAAACTGGAAGGTGATGAGGTCCCAAGACTCAACCCCAAAGTGGGGAGAGAGCCCTTTCCCAAGCAGAGGCCAAGACAGATGTCCTCAAAGTACACACTGTCCTGGGCTCGCGTCCCCATGTGTGCCCATGAGGGAGAGGCGGGGGGCGAGGACGGCACGCTGGTAGAAAAACACCTGAGAGCTGAGAGCTCTGCAGAGATTCAGCAAATGCTTTGTCTTCCCGTGGGCACAAACTGAGGCAGAGGCCCGGCGGACAGCCCCCACAAAAGCCAGGGAAACTGGTTTATGAACAAATGGCTCCCAGAGCCCTGGCTACCTGCAGCTGCTATTTGCTGGTCCAGGTGCCCATGACTTTCTGGTGTCCACCTGTAGATCAGCGTCTTCCTCATGGCACAGCTGGGCAAGAGGGGCCTCTGGGGTTTAAGTAGTCTCCTACTCACCACCACTCACTGCCCCCATGTACCCTTGAGGGGACTGTGCCAAAAGCCCCAGGCCCCAGTGGAGTCCTCAGGTCAGCCCTACCTCCCCTAACCAGTCCAACCTGAGGTACTGCCCCCTCCCTACCCAGCCCCTCTCTGGGATGGCAGTGCCAGCGCCAGTCGTCACATTGAGCTGCCGCCAAACCTGAGCAGAGATAACAATGCAAGGTCACTGCTCCTCCCAGGCTGACTACATTGAAGGCAAACACCCTGGCAGCCAGGAAAGGGGCCTCACCACCACAGTTCAGTGGAGTGTATGCTGCTCCGCCCTGGGGTGGGCGGGGAGGATACCACCCACAGGCCCGATCACCCTGGGAGAACTCAGGAGCCTCACACTAGCTCATGGGGGGGCCAGGGCCAGGGCCTACTATGGCTCCAAATGCTATACCCTACCCTACGTTACACAGAGTGTAGACGGAGACGGGATTCAAACCAAGTCTATCTGAAGTCAATCTCAAAGCTCTGACAACCCACAACAGATCTAATAGTGACCCATCAGCAGCAAAGCATGGCTCCCCCATGGAAGGGCATGGCGGTTACCCACCACCTACCCGGCGGGAGGGATCGAAGCATCTGCTCCAGACCCCTGGACACCAGAAAGGAGAGCCACATTGTAGAAAGGAACTGCAAGTAGTGAAAAGGCCACAGCTCTAAACCCCACGGATGCTTTCTCCCACCAACCTCAAAACCACCCCACATGGGCTTTGGCAGACACCTGCCCAGCTGAACAGATGGGCCATCCCACCCCGCAACACACACACACACTCTCCCAAGGAAGACTTTCAGCTCTCTTAAGGAACCTCCCAGCCAGGAACTTCCCCTCTGAGAGCTGCACCCAACCACTCAAACCTAAGGGCTCAATTAAAATGGAGAAAAACCCTCCGCCTTCACTTTCATGGCTGCCACACAAAGACGGCCAAGCTGGAGAACACCCAGGGCCTCTCTCCTCGCCCTCCCAAAGCTTGCCTCTCAGAAAGTCCCTTCGAGCCACCAATTCGGAGTTCACTCAGAGATGCCAGTAACCGCTCTGGTGACTAGGAACACTATCCTAAAACAATGCAGGGTGCGCTACCACAGCCTCTGTGATTCATCCAGACACTTCAAACATCAATCAAATGAACTTCGGGGTACTTTCATTTGCTAATTAATTTCTCTTTCTTTCTGCTCAAAGTCCAGGCAACTATTACAAAAACAAAAGGACTGAGCGACAGTGCTGTGATGGGGGACACTGGCCGCTCTGGAGTAAGGCAACTCACTCTTTCTTCCTTCTTTTTCTCAAACTCTGCATGGGAGTCTGAGAAATAAAGCTTCAGGTCCCAAGTCCTAGTTGTCACATACTTAACATACACAATCTCGTCTCGTTCTAAAAATAACCTGGTGAGTTAAACATCAACAACCTCACTTTATACATGAGAGACTGGGAGGAACCGTATCTCAGGCACTTAGCGGCGGGGCAAAGGTTCGACTTCATTCTATGGGACCAGTCTGCTTCCCAGAGACCATGGTCAAGTCCAAAAGAATTCCATTTTCTGCTTTAAGAAAAGTCCCCCCCCCCCCCCCGATGACCACAATTCATGTCCGACCAACTGCTAGAGCTTCCTCCCAAACTGGATATAAAAATGTTGAAGTAATTATCGGAGAAGTTGAGCAAGAGCATGTAAGAGGCCTGCTCTGCCAGGACTCTGCGGAAAAGTGTAAGAGTTCCTATTGGCAGGATGCCTGCCTGCCTGCCAGGGCCCCTCACAGGGAACAGCATTCTCTCAACCCTGGCATGAGAAATGAGCAGCCACCTGTCTGGTCATCTTCGAAGCAAACCTGTGGCCGAGTGGGGCTTGACTGCCTGTGGATACAGGTCAAGAAAAGTCCCAGAGGAGGCTCAGCCTCCTCCTGACACAGGGAACTGGATCCCATCCGCCCAAGCTCCCAGTCTAGTTGAAAGAGAGGCTGGTGATTAAGGTTCACAACTTCTGGGCGAGATCACTGCGACTCCAGGCTGCTCCTGGGAGGGGACAACTGGGTGCTAACTGGTTATCCGTCAGCCCTCCAGCCTCCAGGCTCACATTTATATTCCCACAAACACCACCCACCCCTGGAAGGACCTCCCTCATGGAGGTTTGGGGAACCTACAAGGGCAAGAAGCCCGCAAGAAGGGTCCTGAACACAACGATGACAACTTACTGCGGGTTTACCCTCCTTAATACAAACCTTTGTTTACACTGCTTTAGCTAATCTTCCAAAATGACTTCCAAGAATAGGTACCATTTATTATTCCCATTAAACAGGCGAGAAACCAGAAGTTTAGGGAGAAGTCACTTGCCTGAATGCTCAGGAAAAGAGGTTAAGCCACTAGCTGAGAGTGGTTCTGAGGAAGACAAGTGAACTGGCAGATCAGCTCCCTGTCCCCCAAACTGGAGTGGGTGACTCTGAGCCGCCTTGTGGTCCCAACCAGAGTCAGCAGGGCGACGGCTGTCCCGAGCCCTAAGCACTCAACATCCCAAACTCCCTGAGGCTTGGGCCAGAGCAGGGACATCTCCAAGCCTTCTCTCTGGTTCCAGGGCCAGAGGGCCCTGCGGCTTCCGCAGCCGGCCCCCGCCCCGGTTCCAACTTGAACCCAAAGGGACGCCCCTCCCAACCTCTCACCCCATCCAGCCCGGAACCGCTTTTGGGATTAGGGACTGATCCGGAACAGGCAGGCGGGCTGTCCTGGAGGAGGGCGCGGGCGCACGTCCGGGACAGGCGGGGGGTGGGGGGGGCTTGTCGGGGAAATCCGGGGGAGCCCCGGTCCTCGGACTGGCGCCCACCCGAGTCCTTACCGAGCAGCGGGGACTCCTCGGGGCAGGCGGGCAGCGGCCGTGCTGTGATGGGGGACGCTGGGGCCGAAGTCCGGTTGCTGGCGAGGCCAGGGAGAGAAGCCGCGTCGGGGCTGGCATCGCTACCCCGACGCGGCGGGGCAGTGGCGTCCCCGGGCGGCGGCGGCCGCCGCGGCTCCCCGGAGGGCTGCCCGATGGCGGCGGCGCCGTTCGAGCCGGCTTGGAGCGGCGGGGGGACGCCGACCAGGTAGGGCAGGCGGCTCAGGTCGCGGCCGCTTAGGTAATAGACGAGCGTGACGCCGAGGTGCAGCGCGCAGACGGCCACGAGCAGGCGGCAGGCCCGCTGCAGGGACGCGCCCGGCATCGCGGCGCTGCCGCCCAGGAGCGGTTCCCGGAACCTCATCTTCCCGCCGCCGCTTTAAGGGGCGGGTGGGCTCCGACGGGTAGGGCGGCCCGCCCGCGGGCCGCCGGCCAGGCGCTGCCAGGCCACGGGGCCGGGGGAGGGGCGGACGGAGGCCGGAGCGAGCGCGGCGAGCACACAGCGGCCGCCGAGACTCGCGCCGGCCCGGCCGCCGAGCGCGGAGCAGGGCGCCCGGGGCGCGGGCGGGGGCGGGGCGGGGCGGGGCCGCCGGGCCGGGGCGGGGCCGGAGCGGAGTGTTCAGGGTGAGCGCGGGGCGGGGTCTCGGGGGCGCGGGTGGAGGGCGGGGCCGAACGGGGGGCGGGGGGCAGGGCTGCTGGGCCGGGCGGCGAGCACCCCCAGGCGCCCCAGGCGAGGTTGGGGCTCCGGTGACAGCCCCGAGCGCCGGCCTCCCGAGCTGGCCGGGCAGCCGCGCCTTCTCCTCCGACCCGCCCTCGGGAGCCGCCGCCACTTCCTGGGGTGTCCGGGCTCGGATGTGGGCCTGCCTCCGGCGTGGGGGCAAAGACGAGGGCGGAGAAGAGAGCAAGCAGGTTGCTGTTTTGGGGGATTGGGCGCCGCGGCGGCGTTCCGGCCGGTGGACCTGCGGGATCTGGGAGAGGGGTGCGGGGCCTGGGAGAGAGGTGCGGGCCTGGGAGAGGGGTGCGGGTCTGGGAGAGGGGTGCGGGGCCTGGGAGAGGGGTTCGGGGCCTGGGAGAGAGGTGCGGGTCTGGGAGAGGGGTGCGGGGCCTGGGAGAGGGGTGCGGGCCTGGGAGAGGGGTGCGGGTCTGGGAGAGGGGTGCGGGGCCTGGGAGAGGGGTGCGGGTCTGGGAGAGGGGTGCGGGCCTGGGAGAGGGGTGCGGGTCGGGGAGAGGGGTGCGGGGCCTGGGAGAGGGGTTCGGGGCCTGGGAGAGAGGTGCGGGTCTGGGAGAGGGGTGCGGGGCCTGGGAGAGGGGTGCGGGCCTGGGAGAGGGGTGCGGGTCTGGGAGAGGGGTGCGGGGCCTGGGAGAGGGGTGCGGGGCCTGGGAGAGAGGTGCGGGTCTGGGAGAGGGGTGCGGGGCCTGGGAGAGGGGTGCGGGGCCTGGGAGAGGGGTGCGGGTCTGGGAGAGGAGTGCGGGGCCTGGGAGAGGGGTGCGGGCCTGGGAGAGGGGTGCGGGCCTGGGAGAGGGGTGCGGGTCTGGGAGAGGGGTGCGGGTCTGGGAGAGGAGTGCGGGTCTGGGAGAGGAGTGCGGGGCCTGGGAGAGAGGTGCAGGGCGCGCGGTGGGGCAGCTGCGGAGGGATTCTCTGGGGCGACCTGAACCCTCTCCGTTAGGCCCGCGAGGCTGCGGCTGGGGGACCCAGCTTGAAGATGGGGCTCCCCCCCATCCCTGCGGAAAAGAAGTGGACGAGTTCGCTTGAATGGCCCAGACTACACGCTTTGGGAGCGAAGCAAGGAGCCTCGGTCACTCCCACGCCGGCAAGCAGGAGGAGAGCAGCCGGCTTTATTTACAATCTACACAGGTCTGGACCCCATCGTTTGAAGTAGGGATTGCCCCCATTTTACAGATAATGAGTTCAAGGCTCAGGAAGGTTAAGCTCCCACAGCTGTTGAGAGGCAGGTGCAGAATTCTGGCTCCAAAACTTAAAAAAAAAAAACACAAAAAAACCCACCACATGTTGCCCTAGCTGGTTTGGCTCAGTGGATAGAGCGTCAGCCTGCAGACTGAAGGGTCCCAGGTTCGATTCCAGTCAAGGGCACATGCCTGGGTTTCGGGCTAGATCCCCATTAGGGGACGTGCAGGAGGCAGCCAATCAATGATTCTCTCTCATCATTGATGTTTCTATCTCTCTTTCCCTCTCCCTTCCTCTCTGAAATCAATAAAGTGCTGGGAATAACATAGATTGAAAGTTTGTTATATGCCAGTCAAACACAAGCCTAACTGCTTTACACAATTTATCTCATTTAATTCCAGCTGCCCTGTCAAGGAACTGTGACTGCCTCCATTGCACAGATGGAAAAAAACGACGATCAGGAGTTGACCTTCCATTGTGATCCTACAGAATCCACTTTCTTCACTTGGCTACGGGAACACCTGACTTTCCTGGTCTTCCTCACTTCACTGGCACTCCTTCTCTTTGATGGGCTTCTCCTCCTCCTCCCCTTGTGGAAGGCCCCAGGCCATGTCCATGATGCTCTTTTCTGTCTATACTCCTTAGGGCTGATTTATAATGTCTGCATGCTGATGACTACAAAGTTTCTGTCTCTAGCCAAGACCCCCACCCCCAGACTAATATGCAACTGCCTATCATACTGCCATCTCAAACTCAGCACATCTTGCCCCCAACAACTTACTACCTACACTCCACTCCCACTCTTACCTACCTCAGAGAATGGTACCGTTGTTCACCCAGTTCCCCACGCCCCAAACCTAAAAGTGTCATCAGTGTGTCTCTCTTACTCTTAAACTAGAGGCCCGGTGCACAGAATTGTGCACTGGTGGGGTTTCTCGGCCTGGCCTGCACCCTCTTGCAATCTGGGACCCCTCAGGTTAATGTCAGACTGCTGGTTTTGACCCAATCCCCACAGGCTAGGCCGAGGGACCCCACCAATGCATGAATCTGTGCACCGGGCCTCTAGTATGCATATAAGATCTTTGGTTAATCTCTTCCCACCCTCCCCCATCCCTCTCTCCCTCTGAGATTCATCAGTCTATTCCATATTTCCATGTCTGTGCATTGAGCATCTGCCCCCTGATGGTCAGTGCACATCATAGCTACTGGTTGAATGTTTGAACAGTCAAATGGTTGGACAGTTGCTTAGGCTTTTATATATATAGATGCCATTTCCAAGTCCTCAGCAAGTCTTGTCAGTGCCACCTCCAAGTCATAAGACTTTGTCACTTGCTAACTCTGTTTTAACCATTCCAAACCAAGCCACCACCATCATCTTGGCCTGGGTTATATAGCAGCCTCCTAACTGGTCACCCTGCTTCTACCTCCTCCATGCCCCTCCCCAGTCTGTTCTCCAAACAGCATCCAGGAAGATCTTTGTCAGCATAAATCACATCATGCCATTTTATTCAGAAGAAAGTTCTGGTTCTTATTTCTCTTCCCCACCTTTCTCACTCTCTACCTGCTTTAGCCACACTTGCCTAGTTGCTATTCCTTGAACTTGCCCCATCTCTTCTTGCCTCAAGGCCTTTGGCTGTTCACTTAGCCTGAAGCACTCTTCCCCGTATGCCATTCAGATCACTCAAGAGGTCTTCTTAGACCACCTTGGGGAATAGTTTCCCCCCCTTTCCTCCACCCACAAAGAAAACTTTGATTTTCTTTTAGAGCAGATATCACCACCCAACATTAGATGTTTATTTATTGCTGCCCCTCTCCCTCAGAAGATCAGCTCTGTGGGTGCAGGAACTTTCTTGTTCACACTGTATCCTCAGTTCCTAGAACTGAACCAGGCACAGAGTTGGCACAGAATGAATATTGGTAAAAATACCTGTTAAATGAATGTTTATGATTGTCTTGCTAATGGGGGGAGGGGAGAAGGGAAGAACTATTGTTATTTTAGAACACCAAAGTCAAGAGTTGTTCACCAGGAAGTTGGTGAGGATGAAGCTGACCCTAACAGCCTATGTATTAGAGGAAAATGCCTGGCCAATGAGTGAGGATGGGTCAGATTGGCCCCCATCAGAAAAATGAGGGGAGGGGGAAATGGAGATGTTTCTTCCATGCGTCTAGGTACTGGCCAGGAGATGGGTTTGAGAGGAGGTAAGGGTCACAGACTTGTCTCTTTCTGTGGCCAGGAAGTGAGGAAAGGGACAGACACTTGCTCCATCCCTCAGGAACATGCAGAGTCCACTGAGGCATGAACACCAGCCTCACCACCTCTTGCCCAGAGGTACCTAGAATCAGTACATTCCTTGCGTCAGAAAGCTCCAGAAGGTCAGAAACCGTCAGGACAACATTGTGCAGCTGTCCAACGTGCACTAGATTTAGAGAGCCAGGCCGACCCCAGGCAACCTTCTCCAGCTCTTCCCACTCTCACCATTGTCAGGTGAAACAATCCATTCGAGGAGGTGCTTGGAGGAGGAAGTTGCTGTGCTGACTGGCCAAAAGTTGGGATCTGGATTTGGTAGTTTGCCCATTCCATGCCGATCTGCCTAGACTCACACAGCCCTCTGCTTCTCTCTGCAGACTGCCTTCAACTGGGGAGTGGCATTTCCTCTGTGCTAGTGCAGTGGTTGGCAAACTGCGGCTCACGAGCCACATGTGGCTCTTTGGCCCCTTTAGTGTGGCTCTTCCACAAAATACCACGTGTGGGCGCGCATGTACAGTGCAATTGAAACTTCGTGGCCCATGCGCAGAAGTCGGTATTTTGTGGAAGAGCCACACTCAAGGGGCCAAAGAGCCGCATGTGGCTCGCGAGCCGCAGTTTGCCGACCACTGCCCTAGTGGGTCAGAAGGACATAGAATAGTGCCTGGCACTTGGTAGACAATTATTTCAGTTGTCTACGGCTGAATAACACATTACCCCAAAACTTAATGTCTTAAAACTAACACTTTATCACAATTGTTTTCTGGGCTGTTCTGTTCCACGTGGTGTCAGCTGGGGCACTGGCACAGCTGGAAATTCCCAAGTGGCCTCACATGGTTGGCAACTGGTGCTGGCTGGGGGCTGGGTCAGAAGGGGTTGTGGGTCAGGGGCCTTGGTTCTTCTTCACCTGGATCTCTCCACAAAGACCCATCCATATGGTTGCTTGGGTTTTCTCACAAACTGGAGGGTATATCCCAAGAAGGGGCATTTCAACAACAATGTAAATTCCTTAAGGCCCGGCCCTAACCATCACTTATGTGGGCATTTTAGTTATAGGGAAGTCCAGATTCAAGGGGAGTAGAAATAGACTCCACCTCTCCTTGGGAGAAGGGGTTGGCAGGCATCTTTTGTAATCCACAGTAGTAGGCCAGTGGTCACAAATTATCTATATTCCTTCCACATGTAACGTACATTCATCTCCTCCAACGATTCCCCAAAGGGACATCCCATTAGGACTTCTGCCTCAGGCTCCAGATCCAGAATCTATCTCATCATTTGAATCAGGCCTACGTGCTCGCTTTGGCAGCACATATGGTGAATCAGGCCTAGGTGTGGTTCCTCAGGTTCCAGGGAACTATAAAACATAAAACAAATTACCTTCTTCCTCTTACTCTGAGCAGTTCGATCCAAAAGCCAATAGGTAGGTGGAGTCCAAACAGCATTGACAGTGTGAAAATCCCAACCCAATGAAGAGGAAGGGATGGAGTGAGAGGTGGGGAGGGGAGGGTGGCAATCTAGCACAGGGCAAGACCTTTGGAACTTAGAACATTTTGCCTGGAGTTCTCCAGAACAGCAGTTGCCAACCTTTTGGACCTCACAGACCACCAGTGATCTGCAGAACACGGGTTAGCAATCGCTGCTCCAGAGCAAGACCACAAGTTCATTGGATACATTTTGTATCATCCTTGCTAACTGCGTGTTGCCTGTGTGTATTTAGGTCTCTAACAATTTTCCAGTAACAATTTCCTTACTGCACTTGCAATCTCCTTGCTACTATTCAGGACTCTGCAAGGTTTCTGCTTCCAAACTCAATGCTGTGTTTTAGGTTTTTGGAAGCACCCCACTTCCAGGTATCAAATTCTGTTTCAATCACCCATTGCGGGGCTTGGCAAATAGGTTCCATAGGTCAAATCCAGCCCACCACCTGTTTTTGTAAAGAAATTTTATTAGAACTCAGCCATGCATATAGGTTTACCTATTGTCAGTTTGTTTTCATGCTACAATGGCAGTGTTGAGTAGCGCAACAGACCATCTTGCCTATAAAACCTAAAATATTTACTATGTCAACATAAGAAATATCCAAACTGCGGCTCAGTGGTTGAGGGTCAACGTATGAACCAGGAGGTCACAGTTCGATTCCCAGTCAGAGCACATGACCAGTTGCAGTCTCCATCCGCAGTGTGGGGCATGCAGGAGGCAGCCAATCAATGATTCTCTCTTATCATTGATGTTTCTGTCTCTTTCCCCCTCTCCCTTCCTCTCTGAAATCAATAAAAATATTTTTAATTAAAAAAAGTGTCCAAACCTGTAGAGAATTTTTATGAGAATTTGAGTCAAACTGAAAAACATGAACAGTTTTGCAGCCTCGTGTTTTTTAAAATTAATTGATTGATTGAGTTGAAAGCAAGCAAGCGAGCAAGAGAAACATCGACTTCCTGTTGCACCCATCCATGCATTCATTGGTTGATTCCTGCACATGCCCTGACTGGAGATGGGAACTGAAACTCTGGCGCATCTGGATGACATGCCAACCAACTGAGCTACCCAGCCAGGGCATTTTTGCAACTTTTTTTGTGCATTTGAAATTGAGAGAGTACGAAAGACTACATAAAGTTAGAAAAAAGTGGGGATGAGGGAGGATTAGATTAGAGGATGTTAAGATTATGTGCTTTCTTTTCATATATACATATACATACATACATACATATATATATATATATTTCAGAGAGGAACGGAGAGGGAAAGAGAGAGAGAAACATCAAAAATGAGAATCATTGATCGGCTGCCTCCTGCACGCCCCACACTGGGGATCGAGCGTGCAACCAGGGCATGTGCTCCAACTGGAAATTGAACTGTGACCTCCTGGCTCATAGGTCGACGCTCAACCACTGAGCAATGCTGGCTGGGCAAGATTATGTGCTTTCTTGACAGTGGTTATGGCTTATTTCAAAATTATTTTAACCTAGATGCATAGAAACAATGGACAGGTCTTGCTAAAGGCAAAGATAAACCTTTTACTAAAAAGTTATGTGTCTGGGGCATGACTACCCACCATGACCTGCCCAGTTAAGAATTTATGATCAGATCACCCTAATTTCCATAGAACCCCTTTTTTCATCTACAACTATGTAATCTTTTACAGAAAAAGTTTGCCAACCCTTGCTATTAAAAAAAAAAAAAAAAAGACAAATTATTTCCTAAAATTCTGTGTATTAACCAGGTGTTTTTCTGCTTCATGTAGTGTTGGCCTGAGTAATAGAATGTCTGGAAAGTACAAATGTTTTCACTCAGATGGCCAAAAGTAGTTGTTAGTTGCTGGCTGGCTGCTTAGCCAGAACTGTTAGCCAAAGGACTCAGTCCTCCTCAGGTCTCTCCATGTGGCTGCTTGGGCTTCCTTCCAGGATGGCAGCTGAACTATAAGAAGGGGTATTGGAAATGCATAGGAGGGAGTGGAAGCTCTCTTAAATCAGGTCTTGGACAAATTTGGACAGAACAAGTCACGGGGCCAGCCCAGATTCAAGAAGCGAGGAAATAGATTTAACCCATTGATGAGAAATGTGGTAAAGAATTTGTGGCCAATTTTAATCTATCACAACACAAATAAACAGCCTGTCAGGATGCTACGCCCATCCACACTTAGTTCTGAGTGCCCAACTGGACTTCCTCCCATGACCTAAAGTGAGGTAGGCTTCCTCCTCTTTCCTCTTTACCTCAATCTCCACGAAAATGCCTCTAACACGG